AAAAAAAAAAAAAAAAAAAAAAAACTGCGATCGCAATTGTGATCGGCGGCACTCCGGTGGCAGCTCCACCGCGCCGCTTTCTTCTTCGGCGGGAATTCAGCGGCAGGTGCTTCCCTCCAAGAGGGACCCGCCGCCGAATTGCCACCAAACAGCCTGACGTGCCGCCCCTTCCCCTTGGCCGCCTCAATCACCTGCTTGCTGGGCTGGTGCCTGGAGCCGGCCCTGTCAGTAACTGGTTAAAAGATGGGAAACAGAGGGTAGGAATAAATGGTCAGTTTTCACAATGGAGAAAGGTAAATAGGGGGGTAACCAAAGGATCTGTCCTGGAACCTGTGCTGTTCAACATATTCATAAATGATCTGGAAAAGAGGGTGAACAGTGAACTGGCAAAGTTTGCAGACGATACAAAATTACTCAAGATAGTTAAGTCCAAAGGTGACTGTGAAGAGTCACAAAGGGATCTCACTAAACCCAGTATCCACTGAGTGACAAAATAGCAGATGAAATTCAATGTTGATAAATGCAAAGTAATGCACATTGGAAAAAATAATCCCAACTATACATACAAAATGATGCGGTCTAAATTAGCTGTTGCCACTCAAAGAGATCTTGGCGTCATCGACAGTTCTCTAAAAACATCTGCTCAATATGCAATGGCACTCAAAAAAACGAACAGAATGTTAGGAACCATTAGGAAAGGGATAGATAAGAATACAGTAAATATCATATTGCCAGTATATAAATGCATGGTATGCCCACACTTGGAAAAATGCGTGCAGATCTGGGTCGACCCATCTTAAAAAAGATATACTAGAATTGGAAAAGGTGCAGAGAAGGGTAACCAAAATGACTAGGGGTATGGAAGAACTTCCACATGAGGAGAGATTAAAAAGACTGGGATTGTTCAGATTAGAAAAGAGATGACAGAGGTCTATAAAATCATGAATGGTGTGGAGAAAGTGGATAGGAAAGTGTTAATTACCCCTTCACAAAAGGGAAGTAGGGGTCACCTGATTAAATTATCAGGCAGCAGGTTTAAAACAAACAAAAGGAAAGGCTTCTTCTCACAACACACGTTCAGCCTGTGGAACTCATTACCATGGGATGTTGTGAAGGCCAAAGGTATAACTGGGTTCAAAAAAGAATTATATAAATTCATGGAGGATAGGTCCATCTTGGCTAATAGCAACCCCATGCTCCGCTGTCCCTGAACTTCCAACTGCCAAAAGCTGGGACTGGATGAGAGGGGATGGATCATTCAAAACTGCTCTTTTCTGTTCATTCCCTTTGAAGCATCTGGCACTGGCCCCTATCAGAGAGGGGGAACTGGACTAGATGGACCACTGATCTGACCCAGTATGGCCATTCTTATGTTCTTATTAGATAAAATACCCAGCAGGGAATCTAGGTTTGAATCCCATGCTGGGACTGTTATGTGGTATATGTGTGTACAGCACCTAGCACAATGAGGCCCAGACCTGTCTGGCCTCTAGGCACTACTGCACTATAAGTGTTAAATGGCTTTTGCTTCCTGATCTTGCTTGGTGCATGGTGGTGGAACTTCTGGGTGCAGGGCTGACCTTGTATTACTCAGCAGTGTTAATATATCAGGGGGTAACTAAAGACCAACTCAAGATGCTTCTATCCCTCCAGGTGCTGAGTGTGTTGCTTTGCAGAGTTTCCAGCCTCAGGTGGCCCAAGAGTAAAGGTCCAAAGGATAGGTCTCAAACTCACCTCCCCCATATGATGATATTTCCCACGATATTTCTAGGACTGCCCCAATGTGATCATTTTTGTTCAAGATGCTAAGGAGAGTAATGTCTGGAAAACGCAATGCTTTTAGTGACAAATCAAAGCAGAAACAAGAAGCATCACCCAAACTAAAAAGCTGATCTCATACACACACCTCTTACAAACTGTGAAGTCTCTTTTCCTGTGCAATTGCAGACCAGTATTGTGTGGGGGTATAAAGACTATCGCTGCTCAAACCATTATCGCAAGCCTCCAAAGCTTGGCTGCCTGAAAAGCAAGTGAATACACTTACTTATGATAAAACATGCGAGCCATGCCCATCCTCTGCTTTTCTCCTCCTGATAAGACATCTTTCCAGTCCATCACAGCATCCCAGCCTTCAAAAAGATACAAACAAAATGGAACTATAATCTACAAAACAGGAAACCATAGAAAATTAAGTCCCTGCATGTCTGCAATCCTCAATTTAAAGCAGAAACAAAATTCCCAGTGGTGTGGTAGAGGAGGTAGATCAAGGCGCTGGGTAAAATTTTCCAAAGTGCCTAAGATTTATGATCCTAAATCCCATAGAGTCTCAATTGAAATAGGCTCCTAAATCCCACTTCAATTTTGAAAATGGGATTTGGCTCCTAAGTCACTTATGCAATTCTGAAATTTTTACATGTCACCTCTTTGACAAATGTATTCTTTCAGCTGTGTATATCTACGTGTGTTTTTTTCATGGCATGTTTATCTCATGGGAGAGTATGCGACACTTCCTTAAAAGTTGAATAGGAATTTTAAAAAAATCAACCTACAGGATAAAGAGAAAGGAAATTTAAGAAAATAAATGAGAATTCAATGAGTCAAAATATGAAACCATAACAGTTACAGAGTGACTCTCTTGCTATTGCAGGTAAGAATGATGTCTGCTCAGATTTTTGGTGACACAGTTAGAAATGTCACACACACAGGCCTCTGCAACTGTGAATGCAGATTGTATGCACAAATGGGCAGCTAACACAAGGGTACCTGTGCAGCACATGTGCATGCACACTTAGATTTTTTTTGCATGCAAACCTCTCCACCCCTTTAATAAAAAAGTGATCCCACAATTTCTATAAAATTTGACACTGTTTATATAGTTAGATTTTTCCATAAATCTTTCTTTTACCATCTCTTCCTCATAGAAAAATCAGTAAAAAAACCCCATTTGAATGCATTTTATTTGCTATTCTTATTACTGTGGAGTTGTGTTTATGTCAGCATTATGGCATACTCCTGACATTATGCAGGCTACCTTATTAAAATCTTAATTTTAATAAAATTAAGCTTGATAGAACAGTGCAAAACAAGAAATTATTTTTAAAAGGGAGAAACTAGGGTAAGCACATTTCTCCCAATCAATCATTTACAGAGGAGAGAGACTGTCTGACAGGTGCGAGAGGGGGTGGAAGAGGAGGAGGATATATTTCCAGATCAACCCAACAGCACTGAAACTAGAGGAATAAGGAGACCCACAAAGACCTTTTGCTGCTTCCGCTGCCTGATCCAAAATGAACAGTTGCCAGATAACACCGTAAACAAGGTCAAGTAAGCAAGTTAGACTGTGTCATTTCTTGGCTTTGGTCTATGGTTAGAAAAGTGCAGGCAGGGTTTTGCAAGGGTGCTGTAGGCTTTTGGCTACACAATTGCATTGTTGGAATTGTGCCAGGGCCCACCAGAGCTGTGCCTTTGTCATTTAAGAAGCCTCAGTAAGTCTCCTAATGGGAGGTCAAGCTAAATGAAAATGGGAATCAGTAATGCTGGAAGCTGAATTCCTAGAATTTTCTGTCTACCTGATTGTAAAATATATAGTAACACAATGACATTATTCATATATGTACATGCACGTAAAGGACAGAGAAATACAACTTTTTCAGTCCTAGGTTCTATTATTCCTTAGAATTACATTTGACTCAAATCTGGAGGATCTATCTGGCTCTCAGTATATGCTGAGTGTATATTGCTTCCTATCCACTGATTTCCTTTAAAGAATGTTGCTTAATTGTCTCCCTCTCGAGTTACCATTTGGGTGAATTCTGCCACTGGTGATAACTGAATGTGGGGGCTCTTTGTGACAGGGTGTCCCAGGTGCTAGAACCCAGCACAGCACCGAGATGGAGTGCTATTCTGCAGACTCAGCTCAGCAGACAGATGCCATAGGTCTGGTGAGCTCCAACCAAGGGGAACTGAAGTTTTGGTGTGTCTCTGTAAGACAAGGGGAACCGGGGTAGGGACAGAGAGTAGTAGCTATGCAAACAACTAAACTCGGGAAGTAAGTGAGGCTGATGCTTATATTCTCTTTTTATTTTACGTTAATAAAAAAGGAAACCCCAGGGAAGTATTGGGATGGATGGTCTGGATCCAAAGTGGTCTGTGTGTGCGCATGTACTAAGAGTGGGAACTGTGTCCACCTACAGCCTATACCAGATACGGTACAAGAGTGCTGGAAGGCAAAAGAGAGGAAAGGTTGCTGGAAAATGGAAGGAACATGACCTGTTTAGTAAACTCCTCCTATGGTCCCCTCCAAAAGAAGATATGACCTCCATTTATCAAGGCAAAATTGCCAGGTTTGCATCTGCTTTAACTTATACTTTAACCGTATTCTAATATTTTCGTTTGTTTCCACCGCCCTATTCCCTCTAATGCCTTCCTCATCCATCCCCTCCACAAGACTTAGCAACATAAGGACTTAATAATGGTTAGGGAAGGAACATAATATAAATGTTACCTGTTGGCTAAATTTAAAATCAATGCTAATTTCTAGTGCTCTGATCTCTTCCTCTGAACAGTTAGTAGTGTAGCTTGCAATAAACCAGCTTCACAGTTTATATTTGCAATAACAATTGCACGTGGATAAATCCTTTGCACTTACATAGCACCTTTTAGCCAAGTATCTCAGTGCTCTGGAGACTTCAATAAAGCTCACAACACCCGGTGACACAGGCAATTATTATCCCCTTACAGATGAGGAAACTAAAGCAGAGAGGTTAAGGACCAAATCCTTATACTTCTCCTTCGTCTCTGATTGCACAACACAGGTGTAAAGAATATTGAATATCGTATATATATTCATTTTACAAATGGGAGGAAAAAATCTCCCCAAAGTTGTTTATGAAAGGAGAACTGTGAGATTTCAGAATGGATTTAAAGACATTTCACAGTTAAAAGGTTAGTTTAGTCACATGACAGAATATAAGTAACAAAGCGATCAAGCAAAAAAAAAAAAAATCAGACTGTCAGAATAGCACACATTTAACAGCCTGGATGCTCTTGGCCAGAGTATCGTAAGTGGACGCTCTTGTCAAAACGACTCTACATTTGATTGCAACACCAATTCAGTTCCTTGTACAGGCTCCGGGATCGTCCTCTCCCACTTTCAACACCAAAAAGTAGGCATTTGTTCTGAGCACATTTGGGGCTGCAGTAAAGTACATCCCTTGAGTCCCATCAACATGAAGAGAGTGGCACTCTGCTACCGCAAAATGGTCAATAGACAGTCACATGTTCTTTTGAAACACTGAAAAATAGGCAAATTGAGGATCGGGGTGGTGTAGCTTCATTGACAAAAGCATAAATAGAACTATAGTTATCAGACTGTGCAGTCTTTGGCGCATATGCCAGGTCTGTCTGTCTATATAGTGCCGAAGCCTGTGGGAACCAAGTCCTGACAAGGCTCCTGGAGCTATTGTAATGCAAAATAATAATGCTGCAAAGTCATGAACTAGTTCTACTTGCTTAGCAGTTCATCAGTCCCTGAACGGGCAAAACTGGGCAAGCACTAGGCAGGTTACAACAGATGTCTGGGGATTTTATAATGTAATAAACTGATCAGTGTGCCCCAGGCTGCAGTGCTACTGACAGTTGCTAAATATGTACCCCTTTGACCCAGGATGGGGAATTAAAGCTCTACAGACCCAGATTGACTTTTTTTTTTTTTAACTCTTTACTCTAGATTACTGGCCATGTCTTTTCAGCATCAAATGCTACACGTGGCTTTATTTATTATTTCTAATATATTTTATGTTTCTATTAATTTATTTTATTGTAAAATTATTGGACAGCATCCTGAGCACCTTCACAAAGTTGCATTGTGGGCTTTATAAATAAACACAATATTAGGTTCCCCTAGCTGAGTAGACACGATCAGTGTCCTTTTTGTGGATCTTGGACCAAGTCCAGGGGCGGTATAAATTAACTGGCTATCAGACAGCTAGAAAACAAGGGTAAGTGCCCCTCATCTGATCTGTGAGGCAAACCTGCAGCCAGGCCAGGGCAGCTCTCTCAGCTGTCCTGACTCACTCCTCCAACAGAGCCTGCAGTGACTCATCACTCAGTATGCTGCAGCAGCCTATCCCTGAGCAAGACCCAGGTCAGATGAGCCCCAGGCACAGGTATTTCACTGACCCTGCAGAGCTGCAAGTCAGTCTGTGCAACAGCACTTCCTGGCCAGGAACCCTGCTGCTGCTTTGCAGTATTACTCGGGCCCTACCAAATTCATGGTCCATTTTGGTCAATTTCATGGTCAGAGGATTTTTAAAATTGTAAATTTCACGGTTTCATATATTTAAGTCTGAAATTTCACAGTGTTGTAACCGTGGGGGTCCCAACCCAAAAGCGGGCTGGGAGGAGGATGGTCGCAAGGATATTGTGGGAAGGTCCTGGTATTGCTACCCATACTTCTGCGCTGCTGCCTTCAGAACTGGGTGCCATACCGTACCATGCTGCCCTCACTTCTGCGTTGCTGCTGGTGGCTGTGCTGCCTTCGGAGCTGGGCTACTGGCCAGCAGCTGCCGGTCTCCAGCCGCCTAGCTCTGTGAAATCTGGTCTCCCCTACAATAGCCAGATTTCATGGGGGAGATCAGATTTCACAGTCTATGACATGTTTTTCACAGCCATCAATTTGGTAGGGCCCGAAATATTACAGATTTCCTATGCTTCCAGCCTGCTCTTGATCTGGTTCTTGTTCCTGCCCCCAACCCTTGTCCCAGTCTACTTCAGCCTGGTTCATGCCTTGCCCTGACCCTGCTCCAGGTCTGCATTAGCCTCCTGATCCCCAGACCCTTGGACTGACTCCAGCCTGGCTTCAACTCGTTTTCTGACTGTGATCCTAATTTAGTCTGTACGTGGACTCTGACCCCAGTTCTGACCCACAGCCTGTCCCTGGGCCCTGGTTTCAGAGTGGCCCTGGCCCAGTCCCAACCCCACATCTGGCTTTGACCAACACTCCAGCTACCAGGCCTGACCATGTAGAACCCAGAGCCTGACAAGTCGGTGTGGAGAACAATGATGTGGGTAGCAAATTCAGCCCCTAGCCTAAGGGAATGCACCTCACACTGGGAGTTGCCTGCTGGCACCAGAGCTGAATTTGGGTTTAGGAATGTTCAGATTCGATCAGCATAAATTAATGTATTGGTGAGGAAAAGACCTGCCTTTTCTTGTACCTGCTGGTTAGTTGCTTTTCCGGTTACATCCTTCTTCTTCCCCCATGGAGAGTAAGTTACATGTGGATAGTACATCTATTCAATGCCAAATCTGGGCAAGTTTTTTTTCCTTTGTCTCACTTTGACCCATTTTAGGCCAAATCTTAGTCCCAGTGCAGTAAATGGAACTTCTGCTATTGGCTATAATGAGAGTAGGAATTGGGCTCTGGGAGGGAGTTTGTGCGCGGGAGGGGTGCAAGCTTACATCACCACTGAACTTGGTCCAGAGACTTCCGCAGCAGTTGCACCCGCTTGGCCAGATTTTGATTATATTTGTACCGATGTAAATCTGAAGTAACTCTACTGAAGACAATGTGATTATTCTGGTATAAGTCAGATCAGAATCAGGCTTGCTTACTCCAGGCTGTATTTGGCTCTCTCAACCCTACCCCTAGGGAGTGGAGCACAAATCCTTACAGCACCTTATTATGTGTACCCAGCAATCACAGACTATTAAAATATAGACAAACTGTAAACTCCTCAGGGCACAGCCCTAACAGAGACATAATACAGCAAGGGATGGGAAACAAAGGGAGTGGGATGTGAAAGACAAGAGGGTGAACAACAACAAATAATGAGAAATGCTGTTTGTTATAGATATACATCTTGCCCCTTTTCTTAAAAATAATAAAAACATGTAAACTGTTAAAATAGCTCGCAGATATTCAACAGGACTTGCTAGAAATTGGCTAAACTAATAATGGTTACATGAGGACCTGTTGGGTATAGTAATGTGTATTTTTTAAAAAGGTATATAATATCTATTAACATGCACATATAAAAATGTATGTAATGCATATAAAAGTACACATATTTTGATTGCCATCCTTCTCCTGCACCCTTTGTATGTTGTTTGTCTTGTGGAGAGGAAGGAAGGAGGGAAATGGAACAAACAAACTGAGAGTCTATCATGGCTCTGATTTTTTTTGCTGGTATGTTGTAACCCGCTCCTGGTCTCTTTGTCTGCTTTTTAGATTTGCCTCTCTTTGCAATCTAAAAGAGGACTTTTCTTACCATGTGTTTGTGCAGCACCTTGTGCAGTGAGGCCCTGACCCTGGCTGGGACCTCTGATTACTCCTGCAATAAGACTAATTATAATATTGTCATTTGAATTATTTGTATAAAGAACATATCCAAATCTGAGGTTCAAAAGTCCGGCAGGAGAGCAGGCAGAGGGCAGTGATGAAAGGCTGACTGAAAGCCCTCCAGCCTCAGAAGCAGGAGACCAAGACCTTGATACTGGGTCTTCCACTTGGTAGTATATAGCACTATCGGCAACGGCTGCTCTTTAGGTGCAGCACTGTAACTGCCTTATTGTTAGCGTTTATTACAACAATCTGTAACTCCACTAGCCGTCCCCCCTTTCTTTTGGTCCTGTGACTGCAGAAGTGTTAATGGGCCACTCCATTTGAATAGGCCCATAGAACAGCGGTTCTCAAACTTTAGCAACCCGAGGACCCCCATTGTCATTTAAATTTTTTCAGGGACCCCTAAGCCCCCCACTCAGTCCTTGCCCCGCCCCCTGTCCCAAGGCCCTGCCCCTTCTCTGAGGCCCTACCCCCTGCTCTCTTCCCCACCGTCACTCACTTTCACCAGGCTGGGGCAGGGGGTTGGGGTGCAGGAGGGGGTGAGGGGGGCAGGGTCTGGGCTAAGGCAGGGGGCTGGAGTGTGGGAGGGGGTGAGAGCTCCGGCCTCCAGCTCCCAAAAGCAACCTGCACATCCCTCTGGCAGTGGCTCCTACATAGGGGGGACAGGAGGTTCTCCGTGCGCTGCCCCTGCCTGCAGGCACTGCTCCTGCAGCTCTGATTGGCCGCAGTTCCCAGCCAATGGGAGCTGCAGAGTCGGCACTCAGGTTGGGGGCAGCGCATGGAGACCCCCTTTCTCCCTGGGGCCTCAGGGACGTGCCAGCCACTTCCGGGAGCAGTGCGGAGCCAGGGCAGTTAGGAAGCCTGCCTTCACCCCGCTGTGCTGCCGGACTTTTAGCATGCAGGAGGTGCTGTGAGGGAGGGGGAGGAGTTGATCAGCGTGGCCCGCAAACCCCCTGGGGTATCCTCAGGGACCCCAGTTTGAGAAATGCTGACTTAGAATATGTGCTAACTACCGATGCTAAACAATCTGTTCCACCTTGTATTTAGCTGTGAGGCTCTGAGTAACCTTCCCAGACCTGAAGAAGAGCTCTGTGTAGATCAAAAACTTGTCTCTCTCACCACTGGAACTTGATCCAAAAAAAGATATTACCTCACCCAACTTGTCTCTCTAATTAGCTGCATGTGTTCAGATACAGAGCAGCAGGCAATTCATACTGGCGCATGCAGAGATGACGCATGGCCCCCTTGGGCATGCGGGAGTCAAGTGCCCCCCAGATTAGCCTGCCGGAAGCAGGGAGGGAGAGGGGCTCTGTCCTTTTCTCCTTGCGCCTCCCTCTCTTCCGCTTCCCTGGCAGGTTTGGCTGCTCTCCCGAGCAGCCAGAACTGGGCGGGGAGCGGGACGGAGCCACTTCTACCTGAGGGAGCCTGGCTAGGAGGTAGCGGCAGCCCACTCCCTGCCCAGACTCGGCTGCTAGGGACAGGGGCTGAGCATGCTGCGTGGAAGAGGGGGATCCTGCTCGCTTGGTCCCTGTCCCCGGCAGAAGAACCCGGGTGGGGAGCCAGGCTCTCTCAGGCAGAAACGGCTCCGTCCCGCTCCTCACTCCCCACCCAGCTGCCAGGTAACGTGGGGGTAAGGAGAGCATGGTGGCCCCGGGCTGGGCAGGGTGTGTGTGGGGTCACTGGGCAGAGGAGACATGTGGGGCGGTCACGTGTCCTCCCGTTCACATAGTGTCCCACCGCATATTGGGAGGCACGAGTTGTCTACGGTTGAAGGCCTTTTTCTTTGCCACAGACCTCAGGAAAGCATTGACAGCCTATGAACATACACCATGCGATGGCCTATTGCTATTATAGCACAGATGCTTGATATGAAATGTCTTTCTTTTAAAAAATATTTCTAACACTGCTATTTGGAGAAGTGTCTGTAACATATCCTTCCACTATGAAAAATAGTTCATAGTGGAAAGCTAGCATAAAAAAGCAGGGGAAAAGCATAGATCCATCCTTCCTATTCAGCTCTGACTTTATTTATTGTGTGTTTTGTTTTGGGTTTATTTTGAAATTACTTCCTCCCCACCTCATCCCCAGGGCCCATTCTGCTGCTGCCCATAAGAGCCACAGCTTAGCTGCTTTCACTGCTGCTGCTTTTGGTCCCACCTTCCATTACAGAAGCTAAATTGAGACTTATTAATATAGTTATAATTTTTAATTCTCGGTTTAGTTAATTGGGCCCTTTGACCCTTCTGCATCTACCTCTGGCTAACAGGTTTAGTCTTCTGGTAAATGTTTCATGCTGTGTGTTATATTAACACATGTGAATGTTGAATGTGAATGGAGATGAAAGTAAATTTAATTTACTTTGATTTTATTTTCTCATATTTATCTGAACAGGGCAATGTCCCAAAAACCCAAAGGGCAGAACCATCATGGCTTTTAGGTCAGTAGGTCACACAATCATTAAATTCTTCACATGGGAAATGTTAACCTAGGTAAAAATACGAGTGCAGGATTGTGGATTGGGAAAAATGGGATAGGTATGAAAAATATCATTACACACATGGACATAAGTGATTACTAATGTTATACTCAGGAACTATTACTATCCACACTCCACAGTAGCACAGAAAGTCACCACTACAATATGTTTTTCAGAAAGAAACCAATATCTTGTTTTTTTAGCAGAGTAATGGACTCCAGGCAGGAACTGGAATTCAAAACTAACCTTGAGTGTCCTACTGCCTGAGCCACTGGGGCTGAAGTGCGCTGTGAGAATGATACAGTTGGTCTCCGAGAGTATGAATTACTGCACCTCAAGTATCTCCTCCTAAAGGAGCACCAACTATAGCTGCACAGCCTGCCCACCTACAGCCTCCTCCTGGGTATCCTTCTGCTTTTTTAAATGCTAGTAGTTCTGTCACAAACCAATTACTAAAGCACACTGCTAAGGGAGTCAATTCAAACTACAAAAAAGGAACTGGTGGGACCAGAACTATGAAAATATTCTACAGGAAAACACAACAGAACAAAAAACTCATTGACATCAGTGCTCCAACTCCCTAGATACAACAGGAGACATTAATATCTTGACATTTACTGCGCTGAGGTATTTAGTGTCCCCTATTCTTAGAATGAGGAATACTGGGAATACCATGGTAACTTATACTGCAAGTTATAACAGGATGGTTCTAAGGGTACTCGCTGTAGTTTAGTTATTTTTAACTCATTCAGTCTGGGGATGCTTGTAAAAAATACTACTAAAAATGTGCTTGCTTTGGTCAAAGCCTTATAGGAGATATAACTGATAGTTGACAATGAATTTGAATCTCCTCTCACTTGCATCTTGTGGAGTTAATGTAGCTGCAATGTTTTAAGACAGGCGTGAGAAGGAGAATTGGGCCCAATATTTTCATAATATTACACTAACATCTATGCCTGTGAGATGTTCAGTTATTTACTAAAATATAGGATTTACCTCCTTCTCTTTGAACTATGTGATACAGATGAACTATGTGCAGGATACATTCCAGATCCTGGTCTTGGAATCCTTTTTCATGCATGTCATCCACTGAGTCTGGATAAACGACTTGATCACGTAGTGTTCCAATGGCCATGTACGGCCTGTAAAACAACAACATGGAACTAGTAATCTACCCCAAGTCACTTCTCTGCCCTGCTATTTAGTACATCTTGCTGATGTTCTATGAGCAGGGTATAATGTTTTAAACACTGTTTCTAAAACTGTAATTATCTGTGGATACACTGTGGGTGTATGTTTCTCTAAACTCACTCTGGGGACAATGCACTGTTTACATAAAAACGGATTACAGTGCAGCAACATGCATAACATTAGCATGAAAACAACATGATAGTTAAAGCAGAATAAACATTATTTCATGACCTAGTCTGAATCCATGTTTTTGAAAACAAAAATCAGATACTGCATACTGTTTTGCATATGTTTTATTTTTAGATTTTAAAAGTTTAACTCAACATATATACACCAAAAGGAAATTACAATAAAAACTTAGCACGGGTGAGATTCTGTGCTGCATCTCTTAGAAGTGAAACACAGAATTCACAGGCCAGAGGGAAAGGCGGGGGAAGGTGCCACACAGTCACCTTTTCACCCTCTCTATCCTGAACTGCTTTGGAGGATGGGAGGCAGCAGCCCCAGGCAGAGGCAATGGATTCTTCCTAAAAGTGGGGGGTCCACAAGGCCCTGCCCCCTCTGTGGCCCCGCCCCTGCCCCTCTTCTTCCCCCCGAGGTCCAAGAACAGCCCCCGGCTCATGTTCTCTCCCCCCAGGTCACCCACCCAGGGCAGGTGGAGGGTCTGCGGCTCCTCACAGCTGCCCGCGCAGCTCTTCCCCCAACCCAGTTCAGCCTGGGGTCGGGGCCTCAGTAGCCAAAGAGCTGCAGCCAGGCCATGGTAAGAGCCGTCTGGGCAGCTGTGTGGAGTCGCGGACCCTCCATCTGCCCTGGACAGGGGACATGGGGGGCGGGACACGGGCCAGGGGCTGCTCTTGGGTCCCCCAACCCTGGGCAGGTGGAGGGTCCATGGCTCCTCACAGCTGCCCGGGCTGCTCTTACCAGCGCCAGGCTCCAGCTTCTGGCCTGCTGGGGGGTGGCGCCTTGGGGGGGGGAGGAGGAGGAGCAGGGGGCTGGGCCCGTGGAGAAAAGTAGATGGGCGAGGCCTGTCCACTTTCAAAAGTGGGAAGGCCGTGGCCCCTTGGCCCCCCTAGCCCCAGGCATAACTCAGACAGCTGTGGTACCTTTGGTCTAGGGTTGCCAACCCTCCCCGACTGGCTGGGAGTTTACGGGAATCGGCATCGATTTCCCGGTGACTACTGAAAGCAATCTGGGAGATTTTAATAGGATATTTTAAGAAAACAAATTGATATAATGAAAGCACATAATTCATACAGAAGTTCATTCATTGTTAAAACAGAACGGTGTCATCTCATTGTGTTTTTCTTTCCCTTGGCAGTGTAATGACCTAATACGTAATAGAAACTGGTAGTACTATCATAACTGACGCGTAAGTACGCTCATGAAAGTTGCCTGTTTTTTCACGGCATTTCCCAACCGAGTGCTAGAAAATGTATTAGCTATTTAGCTAACAGTTCAAAACAAAAACCCAAAACATAAATGACGGTGGTGAGGGGTCATTTGAACAGTGGCACAGTGAAAAAGAAAAAGTATTTTTGCTGTTTTAATGACCAATGGTGCAAAAAAAAAAAAAATGCATTCAAAAATTGGCTTCACAAAATTGACAAAGTTACAGCAGAATGCATTCTGTGTTGGCAGCTTTAAGGTAAAAACATAACATTTAATTATAATTAAAGTATTTGAGTATAAAGGTTTAAAGTTTCAAGCTATTCATTGCTGTTGCTCTGTAGCTAGCTTGATATTGTGAATGGGTTAAACAGTACAATTAATGACATTACATCATGTGGGGGGAAAAAATCTCCCAGAATATCTTCAGTCAGAGTTGGCAGAGTGTGGCCCTACGGCTGATACACCACCACTCCCATTCCCCCCACACCCTTTAAGCTTGGACTTGTAAGGGGGTTCTCAGAGAATAGCCTTACAATCGTCTCTGCGGTGCCTACATTGGGAGACTCCTCCCCTACCTGGATTACTGGCTTTCAGGGCCCTTTTATGCTGCTCCTTCACTTTTATCTGGTGTAAAGGAGCTGGAGCAGGGGTGAGGATCTCACCCTATATCACAGGTGTAGCTATGGCCCACCCAATTAGTACCCAGACCCACTCAAATCTGAGCCTGTGGGAATGCCAAACTTAAGTAAATTTATTAACATGCTTTAAAAAAATGTATTTATTTTAACCATGCACCCTGAAGGCAGCAGCTCAGATATTGGACAAATATGATATTTTAAAAATATGTAACAGACTTTGGCCAATCAAAGACAAAGTTACTGTGATGCAGTATTTGGGTGGGATCTTCCTTCTTATACAACAAATTATGTGCAAGCAGCATTTCACTGAAAGGTTGTGGCCATGCGGTGCAAATCTGTTAGAAGTCCCAATTGTTTCCATATACCAATTTTATTTTAAATGTACACACTGTGAGGAAACTTAAGTTCTAACATAAATGATTTGCTGAGATTTCACTGCTTATCCACTATAAGTAGGGGCCCACCCAAATTTCCATTTCTAACTATAACACTGCCACACATGTACAAATGCAACCATCAGATTTGTGTTTTGTATGTAATTTTTACAACAACATTTGAAGACTAAAGGAAAATTACATAACATATTGAAGGGACACAAGTATTTTCTTATGACTTGTTTATTTTTGATTCCTCACTGAGATAGTTTTAAAACACCCATTCTGTTTTTGGAGCTGATT